GTTGAGATTAGATTCATTTATTTATGTATCACAGACTACTACGAATATCACAGAGCAAAAATCAAGGCAAAATACAGAAGGACGAGCGAAAAGGATTTGGAATATTCCAAGCAATCCACCAGATGGACATCAGAGCACTCATGATGGCTAAATCCCATCAGATCTCCTTTAATCAAAGTTTTCATGGAGTCTTGTGGGTCTTCTATGCCTCGTACAGACACCTAGCTGTTATACTATGCGCAAATTTGCCACAGCGTTACAAGAGATCTGCCTCACCATGGCCGTGTTCAGTCTCCGCTTTCGGCAAGACTGGCATTGTGTTGGCTCGCATCATTTGCAGACACTGTTGCCTCATCGAGTGCCGGTGGTCAAGTGCTCGGAGAGAGCCTGCCATGGCTCAGGTCCCCTCCGGAAGCCAATATTCCATTCCGTCTACTCCGCCTGACTTCCTCCAGCTTTCCAAAGGCGGTGATACTGAGAGGCGCGTTCAGAAGGCTTGCAATGCGCTTCGTGCATGATTAATTTTGTCAAGTACTGACTTGTCCCGGTTGAGCTGCCCGCGCTTTGCCCTCGCTCTCGACCTAGAACGCACGGACGCATGATCAACGTTCAATGGCCGAGTTATCTAGGTCATGGTCGACGACTGGGCAGTTTCATAGTCCTACGCAAGCAAGTGTCGAGCACTTGGGGAGGCAGGCCGGGCCAATGGGCGGCAGCTTGATGTCGTTCTACGGTGACATGATTGGCCGCTTAGAGTGGGACCGGTTGGTCATGACGCTGGAGCGAACCCCGCGATCTTCGTGCAGCTTCTTTCACTTGAGATACCCCACTTCATGTACATAAGGGAACAAAGGATTTTACCTTTTTTCGAATAAAATGCGATATTGTATACTGAGGACTGTAAGACTGGACGACACCGTGGTTCGCCTACGGTACTGGACGGTAACTTGAATGACGAGGAGTATGGCGTGCTTCATATAAACTGACGAGAAGGTCCTCGCTTCCTTTCTTCAATAGTTCTATGACTTAGTACCTTCCGTACTTCGTAGAATGCTAGAGGGCGCAACCTGGTCGGCAGTGGTGGCCGAGAGACTTACACGATGTCACGCCGCAAGTTAGGCCTTGGAGACATGGCCTGCTTACAAGTCGAAGGGCTCTCTATCTTGTAGTAGAAGCGCGAAGATAGCAATGTTAGGGAATATGGCACAAAATACACGAACCACTTGGCGCAACAAGGATTATAGTGTGATGAAGTAGTATAGACAATACTTGCAAGAACATATGGCCCTCTGCAGGGGCTAAAAAGACCGGATTATACACGTATTACAGGGCTTGTTTCAATCTCGGCGGTGATAGCAACCTATGCGTCCATCTTAGAAGGTAGCATTCTGCCAATAGCCGCCGAAAAACCCTGCGAGATTGTAGGGTCAGAGGTCAAAGTAATTTCACGACGGAAAGAGAGAGAGAAAAAGACATACAGAAGTCCAAAGTTGACTTGACTTGCAGGAAATCGGCGCTCGAACCGCACGTCTGAAAATGAGATCAGCTGCTGCCGAAAAGGACAGCCTGTGGTGGCTGAGCTTCACGTACGGTGTTAGGAGGCTGTCCGCCGTTCGAGTTGAACCTGAACACCTGGGTCGCCAGATCTCCATCCGGCTGGCCGTCGATGACGAGCACAGGCTCGGTCAGCCACGGAGAGTTAAGCGCAGGGTTGGTTGGGTCGGGGACGCTGCCTACTTCGGAGGCGACGAGGAATGCGTTCGCTTTGTTCGTGTCGTTCTCCATCCGCTCCGACTGGCTGAAGTCCCACTTGGCGAAGATCTTGCCGCTCGTCACGTTAACTGGATCCGGGATCCAGTAGTGGATGCCGAGCGCAACACCGGGGTTAATCTCCTCGGTCAGGGACACGATGTCTGCAGCGGTATATGTCGGCGGCGCCGCCTCCCAGAGGGCGCCGATGAAAGAAGTGAACGGAGCGTGGTGCTCCTGCGGAAGGCAAGAGATGTCGAAAAGGTATGTGATCGCGCCGATGGGACTGCGCATGGCAAAACGTTAGCTAAACTCAATAGCAATTGCGTCTCCACAAGACGAACCTCCAAGCATTGTTAACACAGGTGTAGTTCTGTACACCAACGGATAGTGCAGTGTATGTTGGATACGAGGCGACTGGGGCCGGGAGGGGCTCGCCACCGTTACTGTTAATGTCGCTGGGCAACGCTGCTTCGATCGAGAACTGCTTCGTAGAGCAGATCGACCCGCCAGTGGACAAGTTGGCAGGTGGAGTGTCAGCCCTCGCCGCAGGCATAAAAAATGCGTGGGCAGCGGACAGAAGAGAAAGAGCAGAGAACAGCTTTACGAAGGCGTACATGGCTGAGTCTGCTGCGAAGCGGATATCCAGAGCACTGAAGAGCTTCTACGACAAGGCCCATGCTTTATACTCCAGAGAATGGCCTAGAGCATGTAGTGAATCTAAGACAAGTTCACGCTCCAGGATGCAAAACGCATGTGCCACCGGCCCATCGTAGTAATGTGACAGGGAGGAGAGGCGGAGGCAGGTCGGCACAGGCACATAACGGCAGAGGGACCGCGCTCAGCGACATGCCGAAGCTGTGTCAATACGTTGCCCGTACTCAACTTTCTTCCTGACCATGACTTGCTAGACAGATATCACTATCCTCCTGTTCCCGTCGGAACATGGCATTGCATTACGCATCCTGGCCCAGATCGTCAGTCCCATATTTGCACACTGAAAGAAACCATACGACAGAGGGACAGACCAGCTTACAGCGCCGGGCACTCGAACAAAACACACAGCCAGGGTAAGTTGATTGTCTTTGAAGATCTAGAGACGGCAGGTAAACGGCAGTGTATTAGTATACATCGGACAAGCACCAAACGCGATATTCCGAACCACCGTCCAGCTTCCAAGGGCGGCAAGATTTTCCCCAGCTCAGTGTCCGATGTCAGCAGCAGGCCCATCAACGCTGCGATGCACGTAGTGTCGCAGCCCGGCGATGTCGGCACCACTGCGCCCTCAAAGACTAACCATCAGGTTCACCGCGATGATGGCGTCGCTGCGGACTTCAGGTCGCTGGTAAGGCGGGTACAGGGATACATACTCCGTTCCGCCCAGGCCGTTGTCAGCAGCGCGTATGTCGGGGCTCGGTGCAGCCAACATCGACTCGTAGACACGGAATGGAAGAGAAGGAAGAGAGCGTCATGATGGTCCTCAGGTCCCTAGGCCACGGGCGCAAGGCACGGCGTTATCGGCCGCAGCCGAGGTGCATCAAAGATACATCAAATGATCCGCCCATCCCGCCCATGCCCCCGTTAGGGCGGTGTGTCCCGCACTAAAGTCCCTTCAGCCTTGATGTCGATGAGCGGACACGCCGGCTGATGCAATACGAGTAAGTGCATCATCTCATAAGAGCAGCGTGTGCGGAAGTGTCAGGCAGGGTTAACGGCAGGCGGCAGAGCGAAGCCGCAGCCGCAGAGGAACACATATCGCTACCATCATGGCCGTCTGGGTTATATTCGAGGACCGCGGCGGACACTGCCGACTATGATGCAGTCCGTGAGGTAATTAGACTGTCTGCAACGGCGGGCAGGCCAGAATCAGAGGCGACAGACCCATTAATATCTGCGGCAGCGGCACCAACATTGGCCAAATCCGAGGGAAGGTGAATCAGCCGCCCGGATGCTGTGAGCCCAGCATAGGCGGAAGGAATAGTGTCGAGGCTACCGATCGCGGTCCGATTGACGAAAGAGGTCGCGTTGAGCTGACGCTGGAACCGCCTGCACCTGCTGATAGCGAGGGACTATGTCCGTAGAGGGCTGCTCAAAGCCATCGGCGGACGCGAAAGCAAGCAGGCGGAGGATAACGTACTGGTAGTTAGCTGATGGTGTGGCCAGTTTAGATCGTGTCTAATACATATATCGTGCCGCTGAGCGAAGTCGGCTGTGATGTCAGCGTTTTGCTGGTAGCAGTGCCTACCTAAAGCAGGTCAGGCAAGACGACGAAGTGAGAATACAAAACAGCTCTGAGAAAACAGCCGTAGGAGGAAATCACCGCGGAGTCAACATCTACCGGCGGGGAAGATATGCAGTGCGCCACCAAACGTCGACAGCATGACTGCATAATAGTCTAGGATGAGGACACGAGATACAAGGGTACCCCGGAAAATAGGCTCGGGTAAGCTAGATTCCTTAGAACTCATGAGCAAAGGACAGTTATCAAAGGACGACAACAAGTACTGACCAATTATCGACTTTAAACCATTCTTTGCGCGATATCAAATACCGCCGTAATCGCTGCTCTTCCCATCGTCAGCCATCTCACCTAATCATAGAGTGCAACACGTTTCCAACGATTGAGCGGTAAGATGAATATAAATTTCAGTGCTTTGCAGGCACACAATTTGGTATATCTCCGATTATCGTCCTAACGCAACCATACGGAGCTCGTGCACCTGCCGTCGAAGCTCGACGATCTCTTCGTCGCGCTGTGCCACCGTTTGTTTCGTCTCCTCGACCTCGCGCTCCAGAATGTCCAGGCGCTCCACGCAGGTGCAGTCCCACCCTTTCGCGGCAAGGAGCAGCGCACTTTCTCCGTCAGACTCATCAGCTGTTGCCCCGGCGTCCATGAGCGATACATCTGGTGAGGCGTACGGCGTAGGTGGCCTATGACGTAACGCATTGGACTGCGAACGGACGAATGCTTCTCCACTATCATCCGGGGACGGGGGAAGAGGGACCCGTAAGGACATGTCCTCGTCCTCATCAATAGCGGTGTCGGCGTCAGGGCGGGTAAAAAGGGGACTAAGAGCGCCCTCCCGAGGTTGTACGCCAGCGGCAGATGTCTCGGCGGACTGGGAGTCGTCGATGACCTGGTCCTCAGCATCTGTCTCGGGTTCAGTGGCAGTCCCAAGGGCGGTTCTCATTTGTGCTTCCATAGCTTGGTTCGTGATAGTGATGATCTCCTTATCCCCTGATCCCCAGAGGACCGTCGTGGGCGCAAGCGGCATTGCGAGGTACAAGGGCTGCTCGACACCGTCGTCGTCGAGGAAGTCGCCAATAGCCGGTGTAGAAGACTGGGGAATACTCGATAACGCCTCCTGCAGCCTGGTGATCTCTTCGAGCAGCTCGGCCTCACGCCGCGCAGCCTTGATGCGGACCTGCTCCAGCTCAATGCGGAGAGCTGCCGTGACGTCGGCTTCGTCAGCTTTCGGCGGGCTCGGTGCGCCCTGGACGGCCGTGTTCTGCGAAGACGAAGTGTCATACCCGACATTGCGCGGTGCTGTCGAAGAGGAAGCGACAGCAGAGCCAAGGGAGTTGTCCTCGATGCTCTTCCGCGTGAGCCGGCGCTGTTCCTCGAAATTGTCAACCCCCTCAGCGAGGACCCACACTTCCTCTTCGAACTTCTCCATCTCCGTCGATACTATCTTTGCAGGGCTGTCGGTCGCCTCGGCCGCATGACTGAGACGCAGATGCGAAGCACTCTTGCCCGCGCGAGGGGTAGAGGGATGTCGGGGAGTCATAGTATACGGAGAGAGAACATCATCTGGAGAGCAGGGTCGAAGGTCGGGCGATTTTAGTGGATTATGGATGGTAGGAGTCGCGACAGTGCGGACTGGCCCGGATGCTTGGCGTACGTGTTGAAACTGAACGGTAATCAATTTACATAAGCGAGACGATGAAGTGATACACACCTTCGCGGAGAGATTCATGAATTCCATCTCCAGCGCTTTGTTCCCGGCAGCTCTCAGCTCCAGAACTTCGAAGGCAGCCTTGGGAGAAAGAGCAGGACCCGATTCGACGTTCGCCTCGACTTTCTGTGAAGGTGAAATCTGTGCCATGTCTGCACCGGCAGAGGAAGCTAGCAGAACAGCGTGATCCTGATGAACTGCACAAGCCTCTAACTCAGCTTCACATCGAGTCAGCCGCACCCGCAGCGATAAAATCTCTTCTTCAACGTGTTTGTGCGTCCGTTCGTGTGAAACCCGTTCCCTCTCAAGCTCCGCGCGGAGGGTAGCCACGATTAATTTCGGGTCTGCTTCGACGTCGGGCTCAGCGAGCCCTCTGCTGAGTTCTATGGGTTCTGCACATTAATCAGCCACCGTAATTAATGAAAGCAGTTTATGAGAAGGCCGAAGAGAACGGACCCAGTAAGGAAGGGGCTCTGATAAGACTGTTGTGCCAAGTTAAAAGATCGGCGTATTCCTCTACTACGCAAAACCAGGCACAGTATCGCCTGTCAGTTAGCATATATTTCGCAAGTCAAGCTGCTTTCGCCATACGGCACACCATGCAGAAACTCACCTTTCTCCACCACAGCTAACAATGCCTCCCGACATTCGTCCCTCTCACGCTCGATAGATGAAGCATACTCCATGAACCGTTGCAACTTTTCGCGCGCCTTCTCCTTCGCTTGTCTCTCAGCACTTAGTTCACTTTCATATGTTTGCTGAAGAGCATCCATGGCGTCCAGGGTAGCCGCGAGGCGTTCCTGCAGCAGGGATGACTTGGCTGCTTGGGCTTCTAATCGCGATTCGAGCTCAACGATCTATGGCATTCGTTGTAACACGTATTGTTACAGGCATCTCATAAGTACATACCTGTTTGTCTTTCTCCCGTAGGTCTTCGAGATGTTTCGAAATTTGAGCTTTCCGAGATGGGGGCATTCACCACTACGTTGCCAGGTAATGTTCAGTTTGTCGATGTCGGCCAGTAGATATTGCGTTGAGAAATAGCCAAGATTGAACACAGATGTGGATAGTATTGTAAATCAACAAGCCTCGAATAGATAACATCGAAAGCAAGAGTTGAAAGGCGATAGCAAGACGAGCGGATCCAGAGAAAGGATGACCGCCCCTTAACAGGAGCTTACATAACCCCGCCCTGTGACTATACTTGGATACATCCCGCCAGCCCCCACGACTTCCCTGCCACAATAGCAAGCATTCTCGCACATTAGGTTACCTTTGTAAGCCGGAAAGTTCCCTGATATCCCATAGCATACGTGTCCCAGTTGACCTTGCATCGCCACAGCTGCTCTACCAGTATGTACTACGCCTGAGTCCGACTCGCCCCTCAGTATGTTCTTTCTCCGCCGTCCACTGTCTGCCCCGGACAAGATTTACTCGTCTTGTCTCGCGACGCTTCATGAAGGTCACGCCCTCTGGTATCCGGAGCCGCATGAGTCTGGAGAGCCACAGATTGGAGACGTCGGCTTCATACACAGAGGTGCATTCATCAGACTGTTCAATCTAGACACCTCTTCGCCTGAAAAGAAAGTCGTATTTTGGCCGACGCCGTTTGAGGACATAGAACCCTTACCTCCACATGTGCTCCAAATCGATCGCAGACATCGTCCACTCGTCCCTGACCATTACTGCAGCCATGGAGTTGAAAGCAAGGAGGTACATGGCTCGGCAGACATGTGAGTGCGCTGATTCTTCTCAGATATACGCTCTACTGATGGCTAGTAGAACAACTGGTGTCAATATATCTGCTAGCTTTAGCGCTCAGTATGCTTGCAGGGCAGCACAAGGTGCGGTTCTCGTGCTCAAGAGCGAGGCGCACGCCGAGGCGATATTCGAGAACCGGGCACTGAAGAAATATATCATCCGGAATCACCACAAATGGTGCGCTTATGTCAAGAACGTCCTCTTCCAGGATATCGAGCCGGAGGACATTGTTGTGGTCAGCGGCTGGGTCAAGACCGAGGACGACTGGGCGGCGGTTGCGTTTAGCAACGTAAGCGCGAGCATCAGTGCCTCAACCGGAGGCCACGCGAGTGGCATTGCAAGGGTTGAAGTTGGCGGATCGCACGCGAGCTCCACGATAGGTCCTAAAATGCAGCGACAAGGTCGTAAATACTTGGCGAGCACACCCAATGCTCCTCAAACGGAACTGAAGAGAGACCAATGCGTCCTCTTGAAGCGGTACATGCTGCGAAGGCGGTTGCGCGTCTTGCGGAAGGTGGTCGCGGGCGCGGGATATCATCGACTTCCAGATTCAGGAGATGCGAGACGTTCTTCAGGAGAGGAAGGAGTCCTGGCACGAGAAGTAGAGGATTCTGATGAAGAGAGCACGTCAGAGCTCTACGGTGAGGTGCGCACCCAGTTACAGCACATCATAAGGCACATTAACTGACGGGATACTAGGGTGAGGTTTCGGATCCACTGGACATCCTTTTGGATTACATACTGGAGGTATGTCTCCACGACAGATCCCTTCATCGTACTAAGCGGGAAGTTTGTTACTGTAGGTTTCCGATGTCGAAGTTGCCATTGCAAGCGATGGTGACATAGAGAGCATCGTCGTAGGTGTCATGAGAGTCATCTGACGAGAGTACGAAGACTCATCTTTGCTTAGGGTGGCAAACAGGTAATTGATTTCGCGAGCTACCTCCGTCGAGTACAGCCTCCGGTAGAGGTCGACGGTGCAGGTAAGTCGTATCTTCTTACAGCGGCACCATCTGACCATCCGGAATTTTCGTACAGTTGGGTCGCTTTGCATAGAAGATGTAATATCCCATGAGCGAGATCGCGCTTTGGCGCATCGCATCATCTCTTCTTCGGACCTAGCGGAGTGGGCAGATATAACCTTAGATGGCGCTGGTCACTTAGAGGATGGACACGTCTTCATCAATCCCACGGGGGAAGGGGATCGACCCTTCAAATTGAAGCGACTCGCCTTCTCCGACTCTCGGCGTCCAACTCGCGATTGCCAATGCTCCGCTGTGTCGACCGATGACAAGCTTCTGGCAGCATCATTCGGGAGTAATGATGTTCTCGTCTGGCGACTATCCGACGGTCTACTGGTTCAACGCCTACATTATCAGGGACATACAGACGAGACCACATCCCTCTCCTTTTCCCCCGACAATAGTACCATAGCCTCAGGGTCCGGAGACGGAGCCGTCATTGTCTGGAACGTTCGACGCGGTCGTGTGCTTCTGCGTCCGGAAGGACATGAAGGGGCGGTAAAGAGCATCGTATACGCTCCTCATGGCGGACTCATCGCCACCTGCAGTTTCAGCCCTGACTATTCCGCGAGAATATCTGACTCCTCAACTGGAGCACGTCTGCATACTTTCCACGTTGGCCAACGCATACTTGATATCGCCTTCTCCCCAGACGGCTCGCGCTTCCACATCACGCTAGAAAATTCTCGTCGCATCTACGACATCCAAACCTATACGCACATCGCTACGCTAGCGCATCCTGCAATGAGCCCGATCTACTCGTCGATATCTTGCCAGGGAGATCGTGTAGCCACCGTATCAGACGATGGTCAAGTGAAAATCTGGAACGCGGCGACTGGAAGAGAGCTTCTCGCGATCACCCACCCAAAAGCGCTCTCACACTCCGTATCATTCTCTCCAGACGGCGTCGAAGTAGTAGCAGCTTCCCCAGACAGTACTGAGGCAGTGGCTGCCTTCCTGGACGATGCCGCCAAGCCTGTAGAGGCTACCCATGATACACCCAGAACCGCTATGGCTTATGACTCGCGGACCGGCCAGTTACGTCGCGTCTACAGCTTATCGGACGGTGCTTACAAATCGTCGGGCAGTGTATCTTGTGTGGCGTACTCTCCCAATGGAGATTATGTCGTGTTGGGTACCACGTACGGACCATTTCAAGTATGCGACGCGAAGTCTGGGACTCCCCTCGCGAAGTTTGAGGAGAAGGGGAGGAGAGGTACCTCCAGGAGGCTCGATTTTTATCTGACGGTCACACTCTTTTGACACAATTCTCGCGCGGGCCTATACTTCTGTGTAACGTCAAGGATGTATCACGACTGCGATAGAGTAGTATTTATATTGGCTCGCCCAATGTATTGTATCAGCAAAGACACACTAGGTGGTAGGTGCAGTTGCACAACCAGCCAAAAGCTAGGCGAACAAAAACCTGTGTTTAACCGGTTTTCATTCGAGAACACTTGGAGACAAAACTTCCTTTCCGCTAGTTTTGTCGTGTTTTAGCCTCTTTTGTCCGGTTTCGCATCAATTTATGCACCAATTTACCCCAATGTACAACTGGGGAACAATTGGTTCTTGTTTTCCCAATTTTGGCCGGGTTTCTTCAAGAAAAAAACCGTGCTTACCACCCTGTGACATGGAGTACGAGTACGGGGCATTTTAAGAAGCGAGTGCGATGCATTGCGCGCCTACAAGAACCCGTTTCCATATCTCAGCATGCATGGAGGGAGAGTATGGTGTTGGCGTGTTGCACTATTTAGTATCTTCTGCTGGGTGCTTGCCGTACAACTTGTATTGAGGATGCAAGACTGGTGGACTTATAGTCAAGGCAACTGTGCACCAAGTAAATACGAAGGTCGTAAATTTCTCATATATGTGCAGAATAGGATCGCCAGACTGACAAAGCTCGCGACCGCCCACTGTACGGCGCACTCTTCGCGCTGAGATTCTATGGAGCGTCATGCTTTTAAGGTTAGCACCCCGAACGCTTGCCACTTATGCTAACGGAAGAGAGTCAGCGGAATACCTGCGAGCTCACGTGAAGAAACGAACAGGGATTAAGTCATATAAACGACAGAGTCCAAACCCATAACAACAATTAGACAGCACATTACACGGGGGCACAACTCTTGATGGATCTTGACCTGAACTACTGAGTAGACAACGTGGACGTAATGTCCGATATCCTAGGAGAATCAACACAACCACGACAACTAGTCTTCCCCTTTGCGGAGCTTCGCGTTACGGAGTAAGATCCCCTTCCGCGGATAGCGTGGGCGAAGACGCTCCCAACGGGCTGATCGACGTAGCAGGACTAGATGTAGCGGTGCTCGTGACCGACGCAGGGCCCGACCCACCGCCGGTAAACATCGCCTTGAGGGTCATATCGTTTCGCTTCTGTCGGACGCGCTCGATCTCCTCCGCGCCGCCGGTCATCTTGAGCCTCTTCCCCCGAACGAAGCCCGTGAGCTCGGACTGGAACTCGTCGGGGCGATTCTTGAGATCCTTCTCGCGCTGCTTCTCCGTCGCGGCAATCGCTTTCAGGCGCCGCTGCGCGTCCGCCGTGTTCCCGCGAATCTCGAGCATAACTGTCTCGAGCCCGTTCTGCCCCTCCTCGGGCGGTGGCGGGCGGAATGTACGGCCCTTGGATTTGGCGGACCCGGTGCCGCGCAAGGAAATGACTTTCTCGACATGTCCGTACACCTCGATGACGGCTTTATGGTCCTCGAGTAAGTCGCTGAGAAACTCTTCCTGGTGTGTAAGAAATTGCTGCTCCTCGACGATGTTCTGGAGCTCTTCTTCCCAGGTCTTCTTCCACATCGGCTTGATCGTATGTATATGGTCTTTGAGGTTCTGCAGCTCCGCCGCGACGGCGTCGACGTCGTCCTTGATCTTCTTGAGAACCTGCGGCCGGGGAGAAATGTTCCGCTTCAGGACGTCGTCCTTGATGGCTTCGACAGTGTCTTGCAGCTCCTCTATCTTCGTCAGAGCATTCTGACTACGGCTGTCGAGTTTCGTCTTCCCGTCGTCAATATATGCGCGCGCACCCCCGACCTTGGCGTTCGCAAGCTGCCGTACGTTCTGCGTCTGAGAACGAAGAGACGTCAATGACTCTTTCGTGTTCTTCATGAACTCTGTGTAGAGCTGCCGCATGATACCAAGGTCGCGTCTGAGGTTCTGGACTTCATCGAACTGAGTCTTGAGGTCGGTGGCAATCCGCGCTGAGTACTCCGACATGACAGATGCTCCAGTCATCTGTGGGTACAAAGACATGCCGGTCATTTGAGGGACGATAGGCTCTGGGGTCCCTGTTGGGGTAGTTTCCTCTTCGTTTAGTGGCATGACGCGCGATAGACGCCTGGCAACGTTCCGCAACTGACGATCGGAAGGTCGTGGTAGCTGAGGAGTGCTTTCCCCGAGAGGCTGGCCAACGATCATCGGAGTAGCTGTCACTGAATTTCGCCTTGTTTGTGAAACAGAAGTGCGCAAGTCTTTGATTTCCTGTGAGAGCGATGAGATTTGGATGTCGATATGCTGTTTGATCTGGTCGAGCGCTGAACAGACGAGTCAGAACCAGTGGATCCAATTGATCAAATTCGGAAACTTACGTTCGATATTCAAGGAGAGTAGACACTTCTCCTTGACCTCGTCCATGTCCTCCAGCTCATACTGTACACCGCTTGCGGGATCCCGAATATAGATCGCGGGAAAGTTCCCTTGCCCTGGATTATACGAGAACTTGTCCACGAATAGGACGCGCAAACTTGCGAAGGTCAAGCCTCGCTCGATTGTAACCTTTTTAACTTCCCGCCCCACTTGCAGAAACACAGCGAATGAGGTCTGTGGAGTAAGAGGCCCAGCTGAGGGCGAATGAGACTCGTCCCTCGGACGCGGTGGCAAATCCTTTCCTATATCAGACTTGATACTGGGCTTCGGTGACGGACCACGCGAGCTGGACGGTGCTTGCGGGACGGGAGGGATCGGCTCCTCCTCGTCTTCGGCAATAGGAGACGGATTCCGCGAACGCTGCGAAGTCTTGCTACGATCCCGTCGTTTAGGCGTGGACATCTCATCCTCGCTCTCTTCGGTCAGAACAGACAAGTCTCCGGGTGTTAATGCCGATGACACGGCCATAGATCGCCTGTTCGCAACAGCGGCTCTGAACGAGTTGCCAGTCATCTTTGTGATGTTGTACGATGAGAAACGCTTCGACGCCCGCCGTTCCAAGGCATCGCTTTGCTTGAGAGCTGCCAACGAGCTCTGAACTGCAGGGGCGTCTGGAGGAGGCGAATCGAGGAACGGCGGAGGAAGCGGAAGTGTGGGAGATTCCTGCGCGATAGATACTGTAGGAATGCCATTAGGCGCAGGTTGCTCTTCGATAAAAGCGGGCGGCGGTGTGGGGGGAGGCGGTGGTGTTGGGGCAGTCGGTGGAGGGGTAGGGGAGGAAACAGGCCGATCTACGAGAGAGTATCGCTTGACATGACTAGGCACCTGTGACACGGACGACGGTGGTCGCGGAACCGGGGGTGCTTCTGGCTGAGTGGAAGACCGCGCCTCTGCAGCCATCGCGGACGAAGACCTAGACGGTGGACGCGCCGTAGAATCCGCCAGCTCTTGCCTGCGTGGGGGCTGAGGTATTCTCGCCGGATCTGGTGGAGGCGCTGCCATAGCGAAGCCACCGACGAATGCATCCCCTTGCTCTAGCGGTGCAGCCGGTGGCTGAGGCGCGCCACTGGAAGAGCCTTGTCTGCGCTGTGAAGTAGCACTCCTCCGAGACAAGCTTTCCGACGACTGAACGGCGTCCCGAGTCGAGGATCTGGTGGACGCAGCAGTGTCTCTCCGCGACGTACGCGACGCTCTGCTTTCCGGGCGGCTGGAGGATGCTCCGTCCGAGACAGTTGACGAACGCTGCCTGCTGTCTGAGACTACTTGTCGGTATATAGACTGTTTACTCCGAAGACCCTGCAGCAATCTGGTGATGATCTTCCGCACATCGGGCAAGTACTGGTCTAGGGTTTGTTGATTGGCTTCCTCGGAGAGGCATAATTCGAGAACGTGTCGAAGTTCATCCGGGACCAATGCAAGCTCCCTATGATGCCACAATCAGCAGTCTCGGTAGGATTGTTGAGCATTGCACTCACGTCATGTCAATGTTGTACGATGCGAAAGCAGCGACCGCCGCATTAAAATCATTCCCCAGCCGCACGTACACGTCGCTGACATCCTGCTCCGTCTTCTTCAGCGTCGCCCAGAGCGTCAGAGTCTCGAGTAAAGCCTTGATAGATACGAGCAAGCGGGTCACGGCGGATTCTATCGCTGGCTGCGCAGATTATGAGTGCATTCGCCACAAAGACCCAAGCAATACACACGCTGGCTTGAGTCCGGCTTGTTCTTTCGCTGCGTGAACTTCCAACGCCCGAGTTTGTCGAAGAGCTAGACTGCGTATCTCGTCTGGAGGGATGTGAAGGTTGTCTGGAGCTGCCGTTGGACGCCATGCTTTCGCGCCGAGGCTACCACTGCGATGATGCTTTGAGAATGGCATGGTTGGATCAAAGTAGACGTGACGTACAAGCAGGCTGGTATTTGGGAAAGGGGATTGTACGGAAGGACGGTCTCGTCGCAAGATGCATCCTGCTCACGAATGTGTCCAGTCCATTTCAGCGCCTGTCAAGGCAAGTAAGAAACGCCTGTTACTGAGTAAGTAACAATAGCTGATATCATCAACGAGCTGAAATTACTGTCGAGCTTAATTTGCCGAATGATGCTTTACAAGACCAAATTTCTGCCAGCGCATATGAGGACGGCTGCCGGCCGCAGTAGTGGAAATTCGCAGCTAGATCACAGCACTCATGATCAAAATCAGACTCGCGTGTGTAGACAGGATGAAAGATAAGTCATAGTAAATGTGATGAGGCTTAGAGTTGCTACAAAGCGTGGTTACAGGCGTCGCGTGGCTTTAAGGCCAGCATAAGCTGACCAAGGAAAGAAGGTACTAGTATGGACATTCGATTGTGAGGCTTTTGAACGTCGCCGACATTTTATGAGGAGCCGAATTCCAATTGATAGGTCCCTGGGCCCACTCCGAAGTTCCGGCGGGGTTACTGGCGTCCCAGATGCCTAGTTGTACGCGAGCAGCATGCGAAGGGTAGTGCTGGGTTCCATTAATTATCGTATCCGCTATAAAATTGTGTGAGCATCCCATTCGTGATGTAACCAAGCACCTACATCTATGAAGTGTACGCATGTCGACCCCGTCGACACTCCAGACAATTCGATCCGCATCCCAATCGACCGTGTAGCGACGCGTCTCGTCAACTCTGCCTTGTTCAACGTAATCCTCAATCTCTCCGAAGACCCCCCAAAGAGGTTCTTGGTCATGTGGACTAGTCATGAAGATGTTGCTCTGCCAGTGCGATGGGTCGCCGCCCAGAAGCTCAACGTCGATCTCGTCGTGGTCGGCGTTGTCGGCTGAGGAAATGGTCAGGCGTCAGATACTTATGACCCCTGAATAGCGCCATACAGATCATAATGGCCGCTGTTACGACACCTGGGACAGCTGGAGCTGAAACTTCGAATGTAACTTTTCCGTACCTGATAGACTTAGACAAAGGAAGACGCCAAGAACCGAAGTAGAACTCACAACATTGTGAATGTAGAGTTCACGGTCGCACCCTCGGCAACGATGTTGTTCGTGCCATCATTAGTGTGCACCGTTCCCTTCGGCTTTTCTAGGTAGAGCTGCAGGCCTTCGCTGCTGGTTGAAACAGAGCTTTCAGGGCTCACGATGCGAAACGGTGCGTCGCCGTACTGGGAGATGTCGCTCGAGGCGAAGGAACTCTGGAATGTTCGACAGCTTGAGCTCGGCCTGCGAGTATTGACCACAACGGCGTCGACGCTGTTCGCTGTTCCGAGGATGAGAAGAAGTAGCAGAGCGTGTGCAACGTATAAGAGATGCATTATAGAGGTGTGAGGTAAGAGGCGAAGTCAGACGAGGTGGGACTTGTCGAGGCCAGCAGGACGAACAGACCGCGCCTCGGCACTTCGCGAAGTACTTCGACAACCTCGCTCAATTTGGGTAACCCCATACTTGGGCAGTCCACCGCAGTTTGCACCACGTACGCGGATGGACTAGGGAGCCGGATTATCTCGAAAATCCGATGTATATGAGTATACTTCAAGAGAGCATCTAAGTTGTCTCGATCAACCGAATGCCAACGCACCATTATCGGCGTGCAGTGCAAAAATCTAAATAAACTAAATCTCAGGCATGCATGGGAAGAGTAGACGAATGCATCGGAAATTATTATTACGACAGTGCGCAAGAACAGACAGGTTAGACACCTGGCGGAACAGTTCGTGAGAGCCAATGGAAAGAACTGACGAGAACGTACGAAAAAGCTATAGCGGAGTGCCCTCCCTGGCCGCACGAATGCGCTCCTTGATGGAAGCAATGGCATTCTCCCTCTCTGCTCTGCGTTCGGCAATCAAGCGGACGATATTGCTTCTCTTGGCGGTTTGCGTCGTTCGCCACCTCCAGCCTTCGCTTTGCTTACGGGTCATGCGCAGCATCTCCAACTTCATGGTTTTAAGCCGTTCCTGAACTTGGAAGCTCTCCTCCACCCAGTCCTCCCTTTTCTGCCTGTCCTCGGCGTTCATGTCCTCGACGGCCTTTGGGAAGTAAAACGGGTCGACGAGACCAACCACAGCCCGCTTGTAGGCCTTCTGGTTAACCCTGCCGACGCGATCGAGTTTTGCAATATAATTGTCCGTACGGATGTATGTCGTCTTCACGCCGTACACGGCCTGGAGGTAGGACCGAATGTCGGTTTTGGTGATGGACTGCGGGACGCGGAGGGTCGCCTCGTACGGGTTGTATGGTTGTCCTGCAGGCGTGTGGTTGCGCACCAGCCGGAAGACGACATTGGGCAAATAGATCTTTTGACCAACGACCTCAAGCTCCTTCTCGCCATTCTCGTTCGTCACGGTGCGAACACCACGTATCCGAGTGCGACGCGCATCTAGCCTCTCCAACCACTCTCCTTCCGTCAGGTACCTCCCATCAGGGCCTACAAGTTCACCCTTCGCGAAGTCGCGTTGAAAACGCGCATATTCAGTTGGAGTCAGACCGTCTGGGTTGGCGTCGAACTGTCCAGGCGCGACTGGGCGTTTTCGGAGTCGACGGAGGCGGACTGCCCTAGGCGTTGAGGCTGTTCGAGCAACAGCCGCAGCCTCAGGTATCGAAGAATAGAGACGACGGAAGACCTGCATCCCGCGGACGGGTATGCGGACAGAAGATGAGAGGAAGAGGCAGGGTTAAGCTGTGTTACCCGCTTTTTGGAATGTCTCGATCAGGATAATCCAAGTTTGCTTATCATGGTAAGTAAACTTGTCAACGGAGGTAACAAATGTAATAATAAAAGTTAAGATTAGTAACAAACCGAATAAGGGAAGGTTAGTTCCACTGCGAGGTTATGCTGAAGGCCCCGCCTTGCTCCTAACCATCACCTCATCAAGATCCATGCAGCCATGGCTGTTACTTTCGCAAGACTTGGTCGCTTTCTGAGGTCAATATTTGCCCCGACAATAACCACCTTCGGATTCGCATGCCTCCTCACATTCATTTTCGTACTCTACCAGCCTCATCCTGGACCAGGCGCACTGCAACGTCTCGGATGGCAGTCCTGGGACGTCATATCGGATACTGCGAAACCAGCCACTGCTGGGTCCACCTCTGAGGATCTCGACAGCGTCTCTGACCCAACGAATGATGGTGTCGACTGGTGGAATGTCACCTCTCCGGAATCTGCACCCGCCTACGACCCAGCGAGCTTGCCTCTCGACGTCTGGGACCCACTGATGCCCCACGACACCGGCCGTGAGTTTTTATTTATCCATCCATCTTATGTAATAATTTGTGAGCCGTGACCTAGTGTCGGAGATTGAGGTTGCCCAGTGCTTTTTCGACCCGTGGTTTATGCCAAATATCGCTGCGGACCTCTGTACACCCCCATCGACCAAAGAGCAAGATGCGATGAAGGGAAGGTGGGTACAGGTTATTCCCAACCTAAACAAGCAGGGCCTTTCATTCTTGGTGCGTTGTTTTGCACTCTAGTGGTTACATCGCGGCTCACTGCCCACCAGAACGTGTGGTATCGCCGCACGCGTAGGCTTGATATGCCTCTGATCACAGATATTCGTATCCTTCCTGAACGAGAGACCCCGTCACCGTTCTCACCGACGTGGTACAAGGTATCGAAGCCCGTTAGTCCTCGCGGAGAGAAACTCTTCCTGTGGTACAACAAGAACAAGACCCTCAGCGAAATGACTCAAGATGAACGACAGAACGAGCTTATTACCGAGATTGACGTCACGTTCGGTGACGACGTGGCTTGGCACGGCTTTGAGAAGCTCGAGCGGCCCATCGCCCCAAAGGATGAGGCCAAGAACTATGAGGACGTCTGGCTTTCTATCCGCCGAGGCGTGAAGCGTAAGCATCAGAACCATGCCTTTGCGCAGTATCGTACTAACGTGGCCGCAGCGCCGCCTCGTGCGGGTCCACTGCACTTCTCGCACGACGGCAAATTCAAGATCATGCAAATCGCAGACCTTCACTTCTCTGTAAACCGGGGTGACTGTCGCGAAACAAGCATCCCATGCACTGGTGCAGACAATATGACGCAGTCGCTCATCGCATCTGTACTCGACAAGGAGAAGCCCGATCTCGTCGTCTTCACGGGTGACCAGCTTAATGGCCAGACGACCAGTTGGGACGCTAAGAGTGTGCTCGCCAAGTTTGCGCGAGCCGTTACCGAGCGGCAGATTCCCTGGGCGGCGATCTTTGGGAACCACGACGACGAGGACGGCGAATCGCGGCGCGAACAGCTCAGATATATGCAATCCATGCCGTACAGTCTCGTCGAGCCAGGCCCGAGAGACATTCACGGCGTGGGTAACTATGTCTTGAAAGTCTACAGTGCCGACCCGTCGAAGACGCACCTGCTAACGCTATACTTCCTCGACTCGGGTGCATACGAAACGACGGGCTTTGACTTCTTTGGATTCACTCATTCGACCAATTATGATTGGATTCACTCAGACCAAATCAACTGGTTCCTGGAACAATCTTGTAAGCACACTTTGCTTTCATTCGATTTGTAATATACTGACCGGCGTGCTGTTCAGCTCGGATCTCGCCCATTGAGCGACCATTTATGCCGGATGGTGCGAAAGATATTGGCGGTATCTGGCGGCGGCAAGACCAGATAACGCCGCAAACAAGGCTTGCGAAGCCGAACGCCTTGATGTTTTTCCACATACCTCTGTGCGTCGCTATCTCTCTTCCGATATGTGCTTACTGACGACTGTCAATACAGTCCAGAAGTATACTCAGCGGCTGACCGTGACCCAGTTACAAATGCACCGCTCGACCTCGGCATCCACGGACTAGAGGGACATGGCAGCTCGACGAAACAGGATGGGTTTTTCCATAAGGGCGTCCTGCAGGCTATGGAAAGCGACAACGCTGGTGGCGGCAGCGCGCGCGAAGTCAAGGTGATCGGCAACGGTCACCAGCATAGTATGTCATCTTGTCATCTCCCTTATCCGATTATGCCTAACTCTTCGTCCTTGCTAGTCACGGACAACTGCCGGCGCGTAAAGGGCGTCTGGAACTGCTTCGGCGGTGGAGGATCCTACGCTGGCTATAGCAAAATCGGCTTCGACCGCCGCTTCCGTATCTTCAACATTGAGAACTACGGCGAGACGATTCGCACGTACAAGCATACGGAGCATATCGACACGTTCCACTGGCAGACGTTAGCTGGGCACGACGCGCCGCCGCCGTACGAGGATCCGTGACTCTACTAACTTGTATGCGGGTGTCTGGTGACTGTTAGATTGTATCATAAGGAACCTGGATATCTTATGGAGGCTGTAGCACACTAAATTTTAGAATATATTTTGACGTTGTGATACGAGATATCAGTTCCAACTTAAGCTTGTTCCGTAGGCGCCTTCGCGCGTTGGATGTCACTCTTCTCTTCCCTTTTACCTCGACTCTCACCGCATCGTTGTAATCTTCTACGGGGCCACGGGATACAACCACGGCATGCCTCCTCGTGGTAAGAAGAGAAAGGTCGGTTCGACGGAACAAGAGACGGGCCCTGAGCATGCCGAAAAGAATAAGGCCAAGCAGGTCGAAGAAGAAGAGAAGGTGGCTCGGAACACAACCGGGCTGCTCTCACTGCCTGTGGAGATCTTCGAGCAAATCTACGAAGGCCTTCTCAGTACTTCACGGCTTATTACGAAAGAACAGGTGCTGGAAAATAAGCCCCATCTGAGCGAGGAGTTCGTGTACAGGACGGACGTTTTGTGGTCGCTGACGCGGACGTGTCATGCTCTGAGGGTCTCCTGTCTACCGAGATACTACGAGCATGTCGAAGCCTGTGTCGTCCGCGGACCAAGGGTGTGGTACAAACAGCTGGCGGAAAGGCTGGAGAGGACGTCGTGGCTGCTGGTCGAGTGTCCGCATCTGGCACGACACGTTCAGTGAGTCCATAATTTCTTTATACGCTTTCGGTTCTGAGCACTCCTCGGGTAGGACCGTGACCGTGTCGCTCACTCGTTGTTCTACTGGCACTGTCCTTCCCGCATTTGCAGCATGCCTGAAGGCTCTTCCCAATCTACACACACTCCAGATCATGCATGCGCATTCACAGATGACTACGGCGTTGAAGGACGCGTTTGAATATGTCAGTCTTCCACAGATACGCACCCTCATCCTGCCGACTTGCGCACACAACATCTTGCGGGCGTGCCCGAATATCGTGGATCTGACGTGCAACGAAGGCGACGGGTCGCAGTTGATTTCCGCAATGGCGAAAGCGTCGCCGAACGTCGAAGTTGTCAGGGAAATTCGACTGTGGAGCGAAGCTTCGAGCAAAAGTGAGTGCATGCCAAGGGCGAGGATATGTTGCTGAACCTGAACGCGTACGACTTAGGATTGGCGAAGGCAGCTCCGAAGCTGCGCGAGTTATATGTTTATTCGGTTGACAAGGTGTGCTCTGTTTGTGCGACAACCACTTTTTTCTGTCTAAATTCTGGAACAGATCGGTCCGTTCATGCAGAGTAAGACTCTGAGCAAGATCTGTATTACGCGCGGAGTTGAGAGTAGGCGGGGGGAGGATGTGAGGCTCGGCATTGAGGCTACATCGAAAGCCATGTCTGCTGAACTCGACGAAGCAAAGAGGATCCTGGCGAGCAGCATGGTAAAGTCGGACAAGTGTCTGGAAGTTGTTTTCACAGCTCGTGACTTTGAGAGAGAAGCCAGGCTCAGGCAATATAGCTCCGAGCGCTTCTATAAAGTTGTGAAGACTCTCACATTCTCAGTACCGTAAAGGGCATATATTTCTTGCCTTCCGAACATTCGAACCTTAGCTTCCTATTCTTGCAAGTAATAATATCTCAATCTAATGTCATAGATTGAGCTGGTGCTCAGCTCGATATCAGTACGGCGCGTCACAGCCGTGAACTTTGCGGGAGGTTCAAACGGACTATTAACCAGTTATCAACTCGTTGGTCGATCGCGAACCGGTCGTGACAGTGCCGCTCTCCCTGGCCTTGCGCGCGCGTAATAATAACCACTCGATACGACAGAACAAATCCTCCCATAAAGACGTCCTGTGGGCGATAGAGAGCTACCATACTGTGCCTACGGTAACGTACGCGAGTCCAAGCTCCAATTTTTCAAGCTCGAAGGCAGCCGGTGGTCGCCGGCAGTAGTTCTTACAGCACGTCGTCTTGCAGTGCGTACATCAAACATTGCGCCAACGGTTTTATTGTCCCTGGACCACGTTTCATAAACGGGACAGTATTAATAATCCCGGTGTCTCTTCTCCGATTTTCTCTGCACGGCCTGGGGATGTTTTTGTCAATTAGCTGCAACGTATTGCAGAGTTTCTCAACTCTTATTTCAGCTGCTATCGCGAGAGGAGAGTCGGCGGATTTTACCCAAACTCTGGTACCAAAAATATTAATGCCGACTGCTGCTTTGATGGGTGAAGTAAGACGGATCGGCTGGGGCTTATCGCACAAAATTCAGCATGAACATACATAGTGATTTTTATGACTCATCACTGCACTCTTTGGCAGCCGGTGTGTCGAACGAGCTGCCTGAGAAAGCAAACTGAACGGGCGAGGGACAGAGTCAACGTTAGCGCCGAACAAGCAGCCAATCCGGTGAGCGCGATGATGCCCTAAAACAGCAATTTCATGATTATCAGAGTTTCGTAGAAAACATAAGTAGATAGTCAGAGGTTTTTTGCACTGTAGCATGCAACTTTCATGGGACTGAACGTGAACGCAGAAGAGCAGCATGCGAAATAACGAAAAAATAGTATCACAAGGGGCAGCACTCTCAGTTAACGAGAACTGCCAGCGCACGGGGGTGTCTCGAGCTGCTTTGTTTGTGGACGGTTCATCCAGCTAACCTCCGCTCCTCGCTGCACCAATATCCGCCCGGATCCTACGCCAATGCCTCACACGGGCACATCCGCCGGCCGGTCCGTGCGCGGCATCGCGTGGACGTAGAACTCGTGCGGCTTGATTGTCAATGTCTGCCGCAGCTGCAGATCGTACGCCGGGTCGTGCATGGAGAACGTGAAGCGCTGCATCAGGTAGACGAGCGTGACTTGGGCCTCCTGCCACGCGAACGACCGGCCCTGCGCGGCGTGTCAGCGAAGCACATGGAGACATTGAGCAGGGGCTGCGTACGATGCAGGCGCACATGCCGAAGCCGAATGGCTGCCACGCGTCGGGCTGGCGCGGTAGACCATGAGCGCGCAGCTGGCGCAATAAGAGGAGCACACGTACTGGAAGTGCCTCGAACCTGCCATCGAGCATCCGCTCGGGCCGGAACTCCTCTGCCTGCGACGAACAGCGTCAGCACGCGTCCACGAAAGCATAGACGGAGCGCACGTACGTCCTCGCCCCACACGCGTGGGTCACGCTGGACCATGTACACGCCGCAGTAGACGTCTGTGTCCTTCGGCACGGCGTATTGCCCCTGCAGTAGCGTCGTGTCCGCGTACGGCGCCGTGCTGCGCAGCACGATTGGCGGCGCAAGGCGCAGCGCCTCACGCAGCACCGCTATGCAGACAAACAGCGGCCAGTTAGTGGGGCGCGTGGCAGGCGTAGAGAGCGACAGTACCGATAAGGTAAGGGAGTTTGTGGGCGTCGTCGATGGACATCGTGCGGCGTCCGATCTTGGTGTCGACCTCCGCGCGCAGCTTGTGCATCTCGTCGGGGTTCTTGAGGAGGTAGTACAGGACAAAGGTTAGCATGGCTGTAGTTTGGCGAGGTCAGTGTGAGAGGTCACGATGGAGAGAGAGGGGAGGCAGACAAGATGTGGTCTCGTGTCCAGCGATGAGAAAGGTAAGGAGCTAAGATAGAAAGTCTCGTAATGGAGTAAACATGCAGATTATGAAGAGCGTACATTATTCTTGATAGCTTCTTCCGACAAGCTTAGCCCTGTCTCTTTGTCCTTCCCGTGCATCATCAGGTTCAGGATGTCTTTCTTGTCGGTTGGGGTTGGCCCTGCGTTGTTCATAAACTGGCGTAGTGCAGTCAGTATACTTACGGGGTGGACGAGTAGGAAGCTTACTGTCGTCGACATAACCTTGCATAATCTTGATGTCTTCCTCGTATTTTGAGTTTGTCCCACGCATGAACGGTTGAATGACTCCGGGCCTGAGGGCGCGGTTGCCGCTCTCGAGGAGGAAGTCGGACATGGCTCGCGCGAATGGATGTATACCTTCCTACGCAGAGTAAAAACGCAGTTCTAGAGACTCTGATAGAGGCTTACGACATAAAAGCTGTTCATGCTAACATGTGAAAGAGATGAGACTCTATATCGTCCGTTTATAAGGCGTCAGGGCTCACCGATAGGACATCGCGCAAAGGGTAATTGCATCGAAGGTGAGGGCAGTAAAGTCTTGAGCAGGGTCGATCTTATGACGAGGTCCAAACCTACGGGCGATTAGTCGGCTAGCGCGCCCAAACCTGACCCCCGACTCCTCACCTTTCCCATTTGTCGACGAGCTGAGTGACGACGTCAACCATATCGTCAAACATGCTGCGGATGCCCATGGCACTAAACGCGGGCATGAGGATACGGTCTGCAATAGTACCAATTAGAATACGCCATAGCAACGAATGGTGCACACTTACGAGCCAAGTGCCAGTTTTGTTCTTCCGGGACATAGGCCTACGTCGGCGGGTCAGGAGTTATCGAGGCCGGTCCGAGGCGGACTCACCGTAACTAATCCGTCGCCGACGGCGCTGCGTGTCTGTACCAATGCCGCACGGGGGACCTTGCGGAATCGCTTCTCGTCCGACACTTCGTGCAGGAGCTCTTGAGAGCTGATGACGACGACGTTGCTGCCTACACGGAGTGTTGAGTACGCATAAAAGTGAAAATCGTGAATGTGGCATACCAAGCAAATTGAGCTGGTAGATGTCGCCATACTGCTTGGCGAGGAGATGATAGGAGCTGATGGCTACCTCGCGGTCGATCATAGCTGCATGGCCGAGAAATGGGATGGACGGCGGCGAAGGGATGGGAGTGGTCATGATTGTGCCAAAAAATGCTGGTGACCCAATAGATGTCTTGACTAGCGAGTTTTATACGCGACTTGGGCCTGTGCCATTAGACGACGCTCTTCCACCAAGTCTAGGAACCTCCGAGAGACGAGCGAGTCGACTGCTCACGCTTGCCCGATACCGTTGGGCAAGAAAGTCGAGACCATCTGCGAAAAATCTGCGGAGTCGCTATCGCCGGTGAGTGTCTATGATTGATTGGTCGGTTGGTCGAACAAGCGAGTCAACAATTTACCGCTTGCCTCGGTGGAAACTTTCAGCGGAGTCAGACCTTACCTTGTTGTCATGCCCGAGGCGCATGCCGGACTAGCGCGATTACAATATACCTAATATAGAATATAAAAAGAAGTTACAATTTATAAGGATGTCGTGCAGCAGGTGATTTTACGGTCCCAGCCGGGGACGCACTCACTTGCAGAATCCGATGGGCATAGGAGGCCTGTGAGAGTGAGCCCAGACCCCAAAACGGTCTCCCGGGGCGCCTTCATGTCACGTGTATCCGGGACCCCGATCGATCACAAACGCCACGACGCTATCGAAAATCTTCCTGCATCTCTCCAGATCTCTCACTCTCCCTCCATATACCTGGCTCTGACGGGAGTCACCACTTTCCTCCGCGATGACACAGACGACAACGACAAGCTAGTGTTGTCTCGGCTCCCACTCACACCCAGTTCAAGACTAGTCGCCCAGAGGTACGCAACAAAGAATCGATAGACGAGGGCTAACTACTTTGCACATTTCAAGACCAGTTCAGAACTATTTCTCTACGCTATATTGGATAAAAGGCCATGGGTCGCTACATCATGATGAAGCCCGGCTGCATCCTGGGGTTCCGCGCTGTCGCCAGCTAGTGTGCGACGATGGGAGGCAACACGATGTTGTGCGGCGGGTTAGGGAGATCAGCGAGTACCTGGGCGATTGGCGGGAGGTAGGTAGGCGCGGGCGGAGCTGGTGCGGCGGGAGGAGGTGGTATGGCGACGAAAGCACAAAGCACCTTGAGCCGGCTGCGCGGCCAGCGCGACGATGACAGGCATTGGCGTAGCGACGGGCGCGGCTTGCACAGGGGCAGGCGGAGCAACGACCGCGGCTGGCGCAGCTGTCGGCACATTGGCAGCACCTGCCGCGCGGAGTCGGTCACAGTTCTCCACATGGCGAGACGGGTGGCGGAATGGCGGGCGGAGTGGGCTGCGCCTACTGCGCTTAGGCCTGGGTACCTCAGGGACACGCTCTTCATCGTCGTACTTGCTGGGTCCGGCGGCTACATTCTCCTTGTTTACAGCGTGCCTCTCCCTGGGCTTTTCATCGACCTCCTCTTCTTTGACTTCCACGATCTCCAGTGCTCTCTCTTTTTTTCTGTTGATTCTTTGCCGTAGGTGCGTGCGTCCAAAGCTGATGGGGAGAGAGCGCACGATGATCGATTGTGACGGCCCGGACTGAGGCTTTGATGCGGCCGGTGCGGCTCGAAGATGCATTGTATCGGAGGGCAAGGGGGTGGTTGCGAGACAAAGCGGCGCCTTGCTCGGTTGTATCCATTTCTGTCCGGTTCGACGCGAACTGAACAACGGTGGATGCCACTGATCGAGTCTCTCGTCAAACATCGCTGTCTCTGGGTGGCTGGCCTCGGTATTCGGGGACACGCGGCGGCTGTCCAGGACTTGAGCAAGCTGGAGCTATGCAGGGGGCGTCAGTATTCATATAAATCAAACAGCAGATAAACAGAACTCACCTCGGTTCTGCAGGAAAGTCGGCGGAAGGCTCACAACGCGATATTCGCGGTGCTCGAGCGGCGGCGAGACACGTTGGCGAACGGGCAGAAGCTGACCTTGCGCGTCGTCACTGTCGTCGTTGCCACCGTAGCCACTCTCCTCGTCGCTGAACTGACTACCTTCCTCGACATCGGACCCGGTGACATGGCCGTCGTGGCCGCTCGCAGTCCCGAACAGCTCGGCACGCACCCGATCCCGCTCACTCTCTTTCTGGGCGCGCATGTCGCTTATGGCGACGAGCTTCCGCTGCGCGATGCCACGGAGCTCGGGATCAGTAGGCGCGTCGGATGCGAGGGCGGTGATTACTTCGAGCCAACGGTCGAGCCACGCGATTAACCCGTCCAGGTCGTGTAATTCGATGAGTGTGGACGTTGTGGCCGGCGAGGCGGGGGATGTGGCGCGGGCGCTGTTCGGGGGGCATCGTGGTTTATTTGGGGGGGGGGGGCGATTGGTTGTACGCGACGCGTCAATGTTGTGAGCGCGACAGGGATACTGTTTGGAAGTAGTATGTGACTGTTGTGCGAGTGGCTAAGGCGTAGGTGGCCTTATTGTTGGCTTTGGAGACGCGTTGTAAACGTGGCTTGGTGCCTGAGCGATGTGACGCAGTTTTAAGAACGTGAAGGCGACGTTTGAAGGCGATTTTAAAAACGTCAAATGGGACGGAGAATGTGGTTTGGAGCGAAGGAGGACGCGTTTTATATTATCCGTGGGCGCCATTTGTTCCTGGTCGGCATCAATACGGCTTCCAAGTTTGGGTACTGGCACCTGTGCGATCGTTCTGCACGCCGACGCCGACGCCTCTCGTCGCTCCCCTCACCTCCGCCGTCGTCCAGATGCAAAACTAGACATGCGCAAACCTGAGCATTTATCTCGCTTTCTGTCGCGCTTGCCTATGGTCCTGCCCCACGTGCATCAGAGCATCCAAGCCGACACACCGGTTCGCTCGCTGATCTCCCTGTCACCGTCATCTCCGTCGCCGTTTCTGCCTCTTAGCGCAGGGCAAATACAAAGTCGAACGTATAGCACGCAAGGATCACTGGTGGCCGCTCCTCTCGTGAGTCCCCGTCCATGTGTACCAAGGCCAGCTCACTCACGCTGCATCCCAAGCCCACGCAGGATTGTGCAGCTTGCCAAGAGAACGGAGACAGGCCACGGTACATAGATCATAGGATATACGGTTCCAAGTACATACCAATAGTATGTGTTGAGAATGCGAGCCGAGGTCGTCCCGGATCTGCTGCAGGGTGGCCGTCGTCGCCTCTGTTCTCGTGTTCGCGGCGTGCACTTGTCCTCGTGCTCTGCATCTGGGTACCGCTATCACTGGTGCAGCAGATACACCGGCGAGCCCCCTGTGGCCTGTGACAAATGTCTCTAAGCGGCGGATTTGAGGGTCCTGTGATCTGTGACCGCTGTTCATATTGTGGCGTTCGGAGTTGAACGCTTACCGCAATAATAGGTGGAGCAGATAGCAGCATGGAAAGCCTGTTTCCTACTATTCTCACGTATATTGGCGGCCTTTCATCGCCTCAAAGCTCAAAGTGTCGATTTCCCGCTGCTATACTGGTTTTAGTCACAATGGGACCGGCGTCTTCGTGCCAACGCCTCCAGGAGCACTTCGCAATCTTCAACGCCGCGCAGCGAAGCACCGCTCAGCTGTGAAATGGTACACAACTGGAAAGACATCTGGAAATGGTTACAATACTGGCTGTTTATAGAACACTGGCAAAGTAGCTCATAAAGAGTGCACAAGCGGTAGCTCACCTTGAATCTAACTCGCCCCCTCGCTTTCCCACGTTGACCAGTATGTCTGCACAGTTAGACCAAGCACTTGTCCAAGCCTACTCACGAATGTAAGTGGCGCTCCTGCTTGCAAGTTAGCAGCCTAATACTCGTAACTTCGTCTCCTAGAGTCACGAGTTACTATATCGCCGTAGCTTCCTCGTGTAAGTACATCATTTGCCTCCCACTTCACCACTCACACGGCATCTGCCCCTCAGGCCTCGCCGTCTACGAATTTCTGATCACTTTCAGTAACGAGATTGAGATTGTTTGGAGGAGGCCTATCACTGTACGCGCCGTGCTCCTTGGCTCGGTACGATGGTGTATGCTCCTCGCGACGGTCACGAACCTTGCGCCTGCGAATGTGAGCCTTGAATGTTTCTGACTGTGTGCAGTCTGTGACAATGCTTACTACAGGAGTAAGTACAGCTTGTGTAAAGGCCTGCGGGCAGCGGGTCGCTTACTGAAACCCGATATATAGCTGTACGGCGCTTCAGACCCTGTACTGGGTATTCGCCCTCATGCAATTTCTCCACGCCGCACGTACGCATCACGCAGTCTGTCTAAATCACAATACATCCGCTGAATTCCATGTGCCGGTCTTTTCCGCCTTGCGTGTCTTCGCAATCCGGGATAAGATTAAAGAGCTATGTCTGGTCGCTGATCACGTTCGCATTAAGCATGGTGCCATTTGCGACGAATATGGTGTGTGGCACTTATGATTGAACCTTGCATGTGCTCTAGTTTACGCTTCCATGCAGTACAATGCGGTAATGACAAAGTACGGGCTCGATGTTGATCCGCTCTTTGGAACAATGTGCATCGATGGGTCTCGGCTGTCTGCACAAACATATAACATGTGGGTACACATATCTCGCTGATGCACTTGCAGAATAATAATTTTGCAATATAGACGTATGTTTCGCGGTCAAGGACTTCTAATGTATCGGAAGCACTGATACTACTTGCTCACAGTCTTTTATATCACACGTGGCTCCCTCATCCTCGCTGACGCTATTGTGCTCATCCTAACGTGGATTAAGACGTTCAGACACTGGATGAATGCCCGCCGTCTCACGATGAAGACGTCGCTGACGACATGTTTGCTGCGCGATGGTCAGTGGTCGTGTACCCGACTTCACATTTCCTGTTGCTGAAGCCCAGCTACTCCTACAGGAACCGTGTATTTTGTGTGAGTACAACGAGACAGCTGCATTAGAAGGAATTTATCACAGGCGACAATGAGCACAGAGCTCTGCTAGCTCTTAATATGACACAGCTGCTGACACTTAACTTCTCCGATACGGTGCGTCCCCGACATGGGTACGTGAGCGGATAGCTGACATCGAGCTTAAGGAGATGGGATTACTAAGCACGCTGATAACAACCATGGTGCGCACCCCACGTTCCGTTCGCATTGTTTGTACTCATGGACTCGTACTATCCACGCAGCCCCCGATACTCATCAGCCGCTTCATCATCAACCTCCGGACGGCCGGCTCGACAATGTCGGACCACCCTATGCACATGAGCGGCCAACAGCAAGGACAGTCAGCACCGCAATTCAGAATGCCAGCGGGTCGGTTGGGGGATATGGGGGGAACACTACGAGATGGCTGGGGCGACGAACTTTGTGATGAAGAGAGTGGTGTCGCAGAAGCGGGGGAGGAGGGACGTCATGAGGCCAGCGCCGAGGCATGAGCCGGCGGCATTGAAGATTGTACCAGACTTCAGAGTACTGTGATTTGTAACTTACGCGAGCAAAATGCTCGAAGCTTATGATATTTAATGAGCTCAGTTCAGTAGTATGCCGTCAGAAGCGGTGGTACACGAATATACATCAGCAAAACTGCCAGCTCTTGGGGAGTGTCTTGAGTGTCTTGGGTAATACGCCCAAGGCGGCCAAGGCGCCAAGACACTTGATGTTAGCCAAGCTATGTCGTTTGTCTTGGGAAGACGCCCGGTCTTGGCCAAGACTCTCAAGACGGTCGCCCAAGGCAAGCTCAAGACAGCGGTCTTATGGGTAAGACGGGCACGTTGGATCAATCACACTCATTAGATAGCTGTAAACCATGTGTTTCACGCTGGTAGGAGCTCTAATACTACGACTACATACAAGTACCACTTCTTTACAATGGCTACGATGTGAATATAACAGTCAGCTAATAGGAATGCCGCGAAATGAAGTGTAATCCGTACCGGGGCATGGCAATGTCACCTGTTATTGGCTGGAGTCTTAGGGTACTGGCCGTTCGTCATCGCTAGACTCG